GAATAAATTTTATTGAATAAAACAACAACGATGACAACAATAAAAATAAAATAAAGAATCAATAACCTCAAAATTAAGAAGGACATAATGGTCCTTCTACAGTCATAATTTATTAAAAAGTCACCTCATTGCAAGAAGTGCCAAAAATAAAATTCAAACACATAAAGTGCCTAAACGTGTTAACAACTTGATCAAAAACTAGAAAAATTATAGAGAAAATTACAAACAAACATATTTTTTCACACTCTTATTACAAATTCACATACAATCAACTTGTGAGACACTTTCTTCATAAGCAATGACGAATTTGCCCTTCTTCTTGATTTTTACTCTTTTGGTAACATCTTCTATTTTTTACACTTCTGTAAAAAACAGACATATCATACATCCACCATATTCCCAAAAAGTCTTCTTTCCAAAACTCTAATTTATCGCCGCCACCGTAACTCATCCACCATATTTCCATCGGTTGACCATCGCTTTCTTCTACCACCATTGATGAAGTTTGTTGCCAACACCATTGAAATTCTATTACGATCACTAGTCAACCATCATATCCAGATTTACTCTGAAGCAATCATAGTCATGTTCATAGATCTTACAATGATTTTCAACAAAAGTTATGATTTACACGACAAGTTTAACTGGAATTCTCAGATCTGCTCTGATACAACCATCATTGCCATCTTTGTTCTCGATGTGGAAGATGAAATGGTCTCTTGTCCATCGATATTGAGATGCATGTACAATATTATATGGACAAGATGGTGTGGAAAAAGTGGACGTAGACAAAAATGGTGTGGATAAAGTGGGCATGGATAAAAATGGTGTGGACAAAGTGGATATGGACAAAGTGGGCATGAATAATATAAAATTCGATTTGATTACTTTTGTTTTTGAGGAATTTTCCATTGTCCTTACATAAGTGTCTATTTATCCATTTGATTTTCATCCATATTTATCCATTTGATTTATGTACACCTAGGTTTTCGTACATATTTGTTCATTTGATTTTTGTACTCCTAGATCCAAAAATTTCCATCACACTGTAAATAGAAGTGTCATCCACACCCCATTTAGCCACCTAGCACTATCAACGTCACAATCCCTGCACTTCTACATTCGCATATACAATAGTTGCGTCCATAAATTTGAAACCATTTGGACGTGGTAAATTGGATGTCTTGTTCCTAACATCGAGACTGCTGAAAGCTATTAATCCCCTTTATCCATATCATGTATAGTTCGTGCTCCTTGCTAGTGGACTGTGCATAGGAGACAAAGCTTTATGGACATATGCATATATAATTACTCTGTAACATAGCAAATTTGCTAGATTTTGATTAAGTTTCTGCTGTTTCTTTACCGATTGTGGACTGTGCTTTGTGGATAGCGCTTCATGGACACCTATATATTTATGTCCAAATGTATGTACAAAACCTAATGGATAATGATCGTGGAAACTTTCTTACGAACACACTCTCTATTAGGTTCTAAAGCAAATGCAATCTTGTTTCATTAATACAAAAAGAAATTGGAATCAAAGAGATATCCATTTTTTGATTTGGTTTGTTGTTCACCACATCCCGTCAATTTTGTCCATGTAAATATTTTCGTATCGATGTTGTCGTGTGGACAAAATCAGAAATAAAAATCTCTTTAATCATCGATTTTGGCTTTTTTATTAGGCTTGTTGTCTATCGCATACTATCCATTACCAATTGTCCATCATTGCATCTCTCCATGTCCTTTTTTTATTTTTTACATTTTACATACCCGTCCACGTGCCTTCATCGCATTTACAAACCCGCTGCATAGTTTCAAATAAACTTGTATCCATAGAAACTCTATACACAGGGAATGAAGTGTATATATTTCTCAATTTTAGTTTGTGTCCACAAAACAGTGTTCACGAGGCTTTGTACATATGGATTATTGTATTTTGAATTTGTAGACGATTTAGCATGGACATGATTATGGGGAAAAAACAAATTCTCAAACGCATCTTCAGATGAAACTGTGATATAGGAGAAGATTGTCTACCATCAAAAAACCCCTTCACACAAATCTATCTACCGAAACCTGTCCACATAAACCATATTCATGTAAATATTTCCACAAAAATCTATCTACTGAAACTTATCCACGCAAGCTTGTCGACATAAACTCCCCATACGGACAACCTGGCTCACTTCATCATTTTTTCCGCCACCAGCCAAAAACACAATCAGATTTGAATCGAAACAACCCACCTGATTCAATTTGCAAATACACATACAACAACAATCTGAACTCTGCAAATCAAAACAACACTAAGTCTCAAATTTGAGAAAATTTGAGATTCAAAAAAAAAATATTTGACAAGTTCAAGATCTGGAGATTTCTTTACACAAGCTTTAGATATGTTACAAAATTTCATATATATTAAGATTTTGACAAACTAAAATATATGTGGACTAAAAATATAGTAGACTTTTGATTTTCCGACCAACCACCATTGTCACCATCGTCCATCATTCATTTACAACAGAAAGTAAAAAAAAATAACTATGAAGAAGAAGAGCAATAAAAGAACTTTGGGGTACAAAAAATATAAAGAAGTGTGTCCATAGTCAATAAGTGTCCAAACTGTAAACAAAATACCAATATATGTCTATAACTGTAAACGTCTCAAAATTATAATACTTAGGAAGGGCAAAATAGAACTTTAGGTGTACAAAATATATCACTAAGTGTGTTAAAAGCTAGAAGTGTGTATATTATAAAAGAAAGTCTACAAAATGTGTGTATATGTAAACGTCTCATACTACAACGACCCTGATTAATTGAAAAGTTTAATGTAATTATTTTATTATTTAAGCTACAACGACCCTGATCTTGGATACGATTGAACATAATGAGAGTGATGTGGTTGATTTTGGTTTTGAAGATGACATAAGAAAAGTCTTAGACCACTTTAAGCCTCAGCATCAAGCACACTTGTTTTACATCCATGTGATCCAGACAAGAAGCAAAGATTGTGTTTACATCCATGTGATAGAAACGAGAACCAAAGCGAAACCACACTTGTTGCAAGAAGCGAAACAGAGGCATGCGAAATCTCCAAGCCGCTTACGCACTATGATTTTCAACCGTCTCAATCTTCATTCTTGTGTGTTCTTGATGACTTGATCAATGATCATCAACCGTTTAAACCATGATTTTCCAATGGTCTGGTTTTTGATTCTCTACCGTTTGGATTATCATTTATATGATCGTAACATCTTGCTGGAAAGAAAGATCAAAACGATGGACCAAACTTCACAGGGATCATTCAAGTGCTCTCTTACGTTACCTCTCCACAATCTCAGCACCTGAGCTTGTTCCTCCGTCAACCAAATCGCGTTTTCTCGCCGGGAACTTGCTCATAGATGGCTGTTAGAGACGGATATCTGAATCCTAGGGATGTAAACTCGCCGGAGATGGAGAAAGAAGTTAGAGGAAGCTTCTTCTTCTGCTGCTAATTTAGATTTGAATCCATTTGGTTATAAGGGAAAATGGTTTTGAATGAGAACAGCTTTAGAGTAAATCGTTTGTTTTTTCTTTCTCAAAAATGAAAGATACAAAAACAAACAAGTTCTTTGTCAACAAAACAAATATGAAAAATACAACAAAAAAAGAGTTATTTTGAGATTGATTTTCTCATACTAAGTTACTAACCATAAAGGAGGTGTAAACTTGATCTGGATTTGGCACTCAGGTGAAGCTTTGGGAAGTATTAGCAGATCCGCCATGAGTTCTGGATGATCATCAGTTGATTTTCCAGTATGAACTTCCACCAATTTGAGACATGACAATTTCCCCAAGAAATGCTTCATTTGCGTCAGATCTTCGACAGAACCATCATAGTCTTGTATCTTTAGGACCTCCACAGGACATGACAACAGAAAAGAATACTCTGACATGCAGTTGCAAAGATATTCATCTGCTCGTTCCCCATAGTGCAGAGACTGAAAACAAGTAGATAGAGTTGTGAGAATCTATAGGATTTCAATTTTCTTTGTTTGTTCAATGAACTTTTTGCGATCATACCTCGATGACGAGAGTCTTTAGATTTGGAGATTTTTCTATCACAATTGGTAGAGAAGACCAGCAGAAGCCAGAGTAACTAACTCTTACCTGAGACAGCTTTTCAAACACTGGCGTTGCTTCACGGAAAACATGAAACATCTGAAACATAAGAAGCAAGTTTATACCTCAAATTTATAAATCAAAGAGAAATAAAGAAACACAAGAGAGGGTGCACTTACATCCATGGTCTGAAAAGTTAAGTCCGAAATCTCAACGTTTTTAAACCCATTAATCAGGTTCATTGGATCGAAATCATCTGCATGTTCCTCCGACCAAAAACCATTTTCATCCACACGAAGATCGAGCACGGCTTCGACAAGGGAGTCAAGATTCACAATAAGGTACTCATTAGGAACATAATCAGAGTACTCTAAGAAGGTGAGACACGGAGTATCCAAGCTAATGCTGTCAAAATCATAGGCAAGTTCCCGACAATCCAATGAAGCGCTCTCATCTTCACAAAACCACTCTTCACGCCAACTCTTCGACATTACCATGAAATTCGATACATTAGTGAACCAAAATCCCATCTTCGAAGCCTATTCGACGAGGAACTTGAGCAGAGTTGAAGCAATCTTCAAAAGTCAACACCTTCCTCAAAAAAATTGTACTGAAACGGAGACCTGAGAAATACCCAAAAATTTGAGAAAATTTTTTAAAAATTCGCCGTTGCCGGGGATCGAACCCGGGTCACCCGCGTGACAGGCGGGAATACTTACCACTATACTACAACGACATGTTATGTTAGTAATAACATTTTAACTATTATCAATCCAAAATACTAATTTTTTGTCCCTCAACTATATCTCCAAAGCTCCCCCAAGATTTCTTGACTTAACGCATCAATCCAATCTTCGAGGAATGAGGTTACGATTATAAAGATTATCAAAAGTAATCAAAGGTAAAAGTCTTTCAAGACCAATTTTATAACCATTACGATTAAGGAAAACGAGAATAAAAGCAAATTAGATTTGTAAATCAGACAATTAACAAACACAAAAAAAAACTCTCTACAGAAGAAGAAACCACTGAAATCAACATTTATAAATACATTTTGGTCAGCATGCAAAAACCAAATTTTGTTTAGATCTCATCACCATCACAAAGCGACGCCATTAAATCTTTTGGAGATCCCCAAACAGGAAGATTAAAGAACATCTCTTTCTCTTCTTCTTCCTCTTTTCTACACGCTTCTTCTGCAATTTCACATACGCTTGATACATTTTGGATGATCCCTTCTCTTGCTTCTTCCTGTTTCATTCACCAGAAATCAAACGAAACAACAACAATTATCAGTCAACTGAAAAATCGAAGGAAACTCGAGAGGAATCTGAATCTGAGCAAAATTAGTTAGTTTACCGTTGAGAGAAGTTCGTCGATGAAAGACGGTAGCGAGAAAGCATCTTTCTCGATCTGCTCTCGAGTTTCAATCGAAGAAGAAGATTCCGGAAGCGACGATTGAAACTGATTTGATTTTTCTTGCAATGCGCACAAGTTGTTCGACAAAATCTCCCAGTGATCGATTTCTCTCTGGTACTTTCTCTTGAGCTTCTCAAGTATCTTCCTCTTACGCTTCCTTCGATTTCTCTCTTCCTCCGCCGGATTCACCTCCGGAACCGCCGAATTAGAAGCTTCACCGGCGGTAGTTTCCTCGCCGCCGCATTTCATTCGCTTGTAAACAAATCCATCGTCGTTGCAAAGCTCCCACTCTACATAACTCGCCGGCGCCGCCGCCGATGCTTGTTGGTCCATGCCCGCCTAAGAAATCTCAGGAGCCCGGAAAATTTTTCACCGGCGAAATTCAATTCAGGCAACCACCGAATTTTCCGTTCGACAATCTTCACCGTTGATATTAGGGTTCAGATTTTCGTCGGTGGTAATGGTTTCTCCGTCGAGAGATAACCCTAGGGAGTGTAGATACCCGCTCTCTTTTTTTCCACTTTTCCCCCTCTTTTTTTCTAAATTAAATGAATTCTGAAATAAAAAAGAATATCGTGGCGTCACGAAGGGGATAATGATCCGATTAGTTTTTTAACGTCTAACTTTTTTGATTAGTGTTTATACAAATTTAAAATTAAACGTTTTAATAAGGTTTTAAAATTTTAATCACTTTCCGTCTTTTTTTGGCTTTATCCAATTAATGACGAAGCCATGGATGGTTTACTCGTTCTTTCCAAACGACATCGTATTGTTCTTGAATCTTGACCTACGAATCACAATTTTACACTTTAAAACAAAATAATTCTGGGAAAATCTTAGAACAGATTTTGGATTTATCCAGCAGAGATTGAGATTTAGATTCGAATAATCTAGTTAAAGTTTTTTTTTTTTATTTGGTACGTTTATGTTTTGTTTTCATTTTTTGGCTGCTCGTTTTTGGTAACCAATGTCGTCGTCGGATATTGCCGGAATTCTGGATTACACGAAAGAGCTTGATCGGCTAAGAAAAGAACAAGATGAAGTTTTGGTAGAGATCAATACGATGCACAAGAAGCTTCAAGCTAGTGAGTGTTTCCATAAACTAATTTTGGTTTTTTTGTTCTCTTTTTTTTTATTTTTTTTATTTACAAATTTGTGTTGATCTGAGATTGGATTTTGTTTTCCTGGGAAATATCAAATATTTATGCTTAATTAGTTATCATCAGTGGAAGTTTTGATTTTGGATCATTAAGTAATTAGAGAACATTATTCAAAATCATATGTAACCTTTGCTGTAATGTAGAGAGAGAGTTGTTTAAGTTTTTTTTATGTTGCTTCAGTGAAGAAATCTGGAAATTTTTAGCATATTTTGTTGGGTTTTGTGAGTAATGTTTAATTTGGTTTGTATGATCACTAATATTGGAAACAAACTAATGAAAATCCAAAACAGTATTGCACAAGATAAAGCTCTTCTTGAGGGGAATCTTTGATTAGATCCATAGATTGGTCATTATTTGGTTTGATATGTGATTATGTTTTGATGCAGCTCCTGAGGTAGTTCATAAGCATGGTGATACTTCACTGTCGAAGCTTAAAGTTTTGTACACTCAAGCAAAAAGAGCTTTCCCAAAACGAAGTAACGTAAGCCATTTCTTTATACTTGTTACAATGGCGAATCAAAAAAGTTGAAGACTTTTGAATGGATTTTGGACTGATCTTTTGACTCTGCATTTAACACGCAGCGTGTCGAACAATTTGCTTACTCAGTTGGATTCTTTGCTTCCATTTGTACCAACGGGACAACAACGAAGCAAATTTGGTACACAATGTGTTTAAATTGATTGTATATTCTCTTAGTCCTGGAATGTTATGATTGTGATAATTGTATGTTCTCTTACTCCTGTAATGTTATGATTGTGATGATATCAGATGTAATGAGACTTTCTCCTTTCATGAGAAACCGAATCGAGGCATATGCAAGTCTAAAGGGTGAACAGGTAAATAATAATACTATTATGCATTCGCTTTCTTTATTTTAAGATCAGTTCCATGTTAACATCAGATTTATGCAGGTCGCTGCGAGAGTTACAGAAGAGAATGCTGATAAAGATGAGTGGTTTGTGGTTAAAGTAATTCACATCGATAGAGAAACAAAAGAGTAAAAGCCTTAATCTTTCATCTGCATAAATTAGATGGACTCTGCTGCATTTGCACATCTGAAGTTCAATAGATTTTGTTGCCTTTTGAGTCATCTGTTCTGAAGATGCTTTCATCATCCAAAAGTTGTTCTTTTTTTTTTTATCTGCAAAGTGTTCATTTTTATGAGTCTTAAAGTTGTTGCAAACTTTTGATCACAGAGTTGAAGTACTTGATGAAGAACCAGGAGATGATGAAGAAGGAAGCGGTCAGAGGTAAAAAAAGCTCATATGAAAACAACTTTTGAGTTATCAATTGGCATTGGAAAATGGAAATTTTACTAAGATTATTCACTTCTCTGATCATCTATAGGACCTATATGTTACCGATGTCATGCATTTTACCGTTCCCTAAACGAAACGATCTTCTCAACACGCAAGAGTTTCCAACGGGGAGACACGTGTTAGCTGTGTATCCAGGGACAACAGCACTCTACAAAGCCACTGTGATAAGTACCCCACGAAAGGTTAGATACAACCTTTAAAACCGTCTTTTACAGTCTGGAAAAGAAAGAACACTAACCTTGAGCCTTTATTGAACATGAATGCGAATTCTCTCCGTCACCAGATGAAGTCTGACGAGTAAGTTCTTCTTCAACCTTTGTTTCTGCTTGCTTTGTAGTCCAAACACTTGAAAGAGAGATGTTTCATCTGATTTGTAATAAACCAGGTACTTGCTTGAATTCGATGATGATGAGGAAGATGGAGCATTGCCTCAAAGAACAGTACCTTTCCACAGAGTTGTAGCTTTACCAGAAGATCGTCGCCGGTGAAAGGAAACAAACAACGGGTTTATCAGTCTCTTGCCAGAATTATTTTTCATGGATTCTCATTGGGTAGATTAAGATAAGTTTGATGTTTAAAGTTTTTACCTTTTGTGTCAAAAGAAAACCGACGTATTTTCAATTAGACCGGACCAAATCAGGTAATATATGTCCAAAACTGGATTCGAACCGAACTTTTCGCAAAACCCAAACCGAACAGAAGCTATCTTTAAGGAGAACCGAACAGTGTTTCCAATTAGACCGGACTAAATCAGATGATATGCTGTATATCCAAACCGGAATGAACCGAACTGTTTTTGAAATGGATTCTTTTCGCAAAACCCAAACCGAACAGTCTTTAAATACCGGGAAAAAGGAAGCTTTACGTTTTTTCAAATCGATTTCGGAGGGACAAACGTCGGAATCAAACCGGCGCCGGAAGTTGCATCTTTCTCCGGGAGAGGACAAAACGGGTTAAACGCGGATATCCTAAAACCCGATTTGATTCCTCCGGTAGTTTAGAACTAGGTTACTCTGGAGGCTTATGAAACGTTGTTGTTTTTGCAAAGCTAATGAAGTCCGCTCAAGAACTCTTGCGACTTTACAGCAGCTCAGATTTTTCCAAACACGTGTCGATGCTCGGATCATTAAAACCGGGTTCGACACAGACACGTGTCGCTCCAATTTCGTCGTCGAGGACCTTCTCCGGAGAGGTCAAGTCTCTGCTGCACGCAAGGTGTATGATGAAATGCCTCACAAGAACACTGTCTCCACCAATACGATGATTTCCGGTTACGTCAAGTCCGACGATCTTTCACGCGCGCGTGAGCTCTTTGACGCGATGGTTGAAGGTAGAACTGTCGTGACTTGGACTATCTTGATGGGATGGTACACCGGAAACAACCGGTTCGACGAAGCTTTCAAGCTTTTCCGTGAGATGTGCAGGTCTCGTACCTTGCCTGATCACGTGACCTTCGCTACGCTTTTACCGGGATGCAACGACGCGGTTCCCGAGAACGCGGTGGGCCAAGTTCATGCCTTTGCCGTCAAGTTAGGCTTTGATAGGAACCCTTTTCTCACCGTTTGCAATGTATTGGTTAAGTCTTACTGTGAGGTAAAGCGGCGAGATTTGGCCTGCGTGGTGTTTGAGCAGATTACAGAGAAGGACTCTGTCACGTTCAACACGCTTATCACAGGGTATGAGAAGGATGGTTTGTACATTGAGGCGGTTCGTCTCTTTGTCGAAATGCGACGGTCGGGTCACAAGCCTTCCGATTTCACGTTCTCAGGTGTTCTCAAGGCGGTTGTTGGCATACATGATTTTGTTCTTGGTCAGCAGCTCCATGGCTCGGCCGTTTCTACCGGTTTTTGGAGGGATGTGGCGGTTGGGAATCAGATTCTTGATTTCTACTCCAAGCATGATCGTGTTCTTGAAACCAGGAGTCTTTTTGACGAAATGCCTGAGCTTGATTTCGTTTCTTACAACGTGGTCATCTCGAGCTACTCGCAGGCTGAGAGATACGAGGAGTCCCTGGGATTGTTCAGAGAGATGCAGAGCATGGGGTTTGATCGGAGAACCTTCCCTTTCGCGACGGTGCTGAGCATCGCGGCTAACTTGTCGTCGTTGCAGATTGGTCGACAAGCGCATTGCCAGGCCATCGTGGCGGCGGCTGATTCGATCCCTCATGTCGGGAACTCTTTAGTTGATATGTACGCAAAGTGTGTGATGTTTGAGGAAGCGGAGTTGATATTTTCGTGTTTATCAAAACAGAGCACTGTTTCTTGGACCGCTTTGATCTCGGGTTATGTACAGAAAGGGCTTCATGGAGAAGGGCTTAAGCTGTTCATCAAGATGCGAGGAGCGAATCTACGAGCAGACCAATCGACTTTCGCTACTGTACTGAGAGCTTCCGCTAGCTTCGCTTCTTTGTCGCTTGGGAGACAACTCCACGGGTTCATAATCAAGTCAGGGAACGCGGAGAACGTCTACTCGGGAAGTGGGATGGTTGATATGTACGCCAAGTGTGGTTCTATCAGAGACGCGGTTCAAGTATTCGAAGAGATGCCTGATAGAAACGCGGTTTCTTGGAACGCTTTGATATCAGCCTACGCTGATAATGGAGATGGAGAAGCAGCGATTCGTGTGTTTAAAGAGATGATTCACTCAGGTCTCAAGCCAGATTCAGTCAGCGTCTTGGGGGTATTGACTGCATGTAGTCACTGTGGATTTGTTGAGCAAGGAACAGAGTTTTTCGAGGCAATGTCTCGGATCCACGGGATAACTCCGGGAAGGAAACACTATGCTTGCATGCTTGATTTGCTCGGCAGAAACGGGAGATTCGCGGAAGCAGAGAAGCTGATGGAGGAAATGCCCTTTGAGCCAGACGAAATCATGTGGTCTTCAGTGTTGAACGCGTGCCGGATTCACAAGAACCAAGGCCTTGCTGAGAGAGCAGCAGAGAAGCTCTTTGGTATGGAGAAGCTCAGGGACGCTGCTGCTTATGTAAGCATGTCGAATATCTACGCAACGGCAGGGAAATGGGAAAGCGTTAGTCTTGTAAAGAAAGCGATGCGTGAACGTGGAATCAAGAAGGTTCCTGCTCAGAGCTGGGTTGAAGTGAACCACGAGATTCATATGTTCTCATCTAATGACCAGACACACGCGAGAGGAGATGAGATCGTGGCGAAGATCAATGAGTTGACATCCGAGATTGAAAGACAAGGGTACAAGCCTGACACGAGTTGGGTCGTGCAAGACGTGAATGAGCAGGTGAAGATTGAGTCGCTTAAGTTCCACAGTGAGCGTTTAGCGGTTGCGTTTGCTCTTATCAGTACACCGGAAGGGTCTCCGATCGTTGTGATGAAGAACTTGAGGGCTTGTAGGGATTGTCATGCTGCGATAAAACTAATATCGAAGATTGTGAAGAGGGAGATAACTGTAAGGGACTCAAGTAGATTCCATCACTTTAAGGATGGGCTCTGTTCTTGTGGGGATTACTGGTGATTCACAGATTCTCATTAGAGGTAGGTTCTGCTCCAAAATGTTAATTTCCGTTAAGCCTAGAGCCGCCTGCTTGAGTCGGTTTCTTAGTAGATTTTCCATTTATTTATATGTAATTAAATTAAGATTTTCTATTTCCATTTAAATTTTGATCAAAGCCGGACTATATAAGGAGAACTTCTCCTCTCATTGTATAATTCAAAATCTTCATATCTTTGGTTCTCAGGTTGAGAGGAGGTATGCAGATCTTTGTCAACACTCTTACAGGCAAGACCATAACCCTTGAGGTCGAAAGCTTAGACACCATTGACGATGTCAAGACCAAGATTCAAGACAAGGAAGGGATCCCACCAGACCAGCAGAGACTTATCTACGCTGGTAAACAGCTCGAGGATGGTCGCACTCTTGAGGATTACAACATTCAGAAGGAATCTACTCTCCATTTTGTTACCCGTCTCTGTGGTGGAAGCTTGTGAACAGAGAAACTATGGCGGTCAATAGTTTCTTGAACAATGACCACTTGAGTTTTACTCTTTACTGCTTTAGTTTCAAGTTCTTATAATGCACATACTGTCATCGACGAAGCAACTATATGGTGTGTATGCTTAATTGTGGTTGGTGTTAGATATGTGACAAAATATAGGAATTTTTGCATTAAAACATAAATAGTTCATTGGTTAAAAATATCGAATCTTTGCATGAAAACATATTTACTCTTTTGATATTTGAGAAGGTGACACTCTCTGCGACAAGAAGAGGCCAAAGACAAACCATAATTTAAACCCGTTCAAGTAAACCTAAAACCGCGATTGTCATCTTCAACGATGATGTAGTGGTGTGTTCTTAAACCGAAGTTGCAGGGAATAAATCTGGAAGAGTAATTTTTCCTCTGTGGGTTGGGTCAAGCTGGTCAAACCGGTTAATGATCGGTATAATGTCCTCACTGGTTATTCTCCCCATCTCCTTTAGTTTGTATATCACAAACTCTGCTATACTGCAAAAAATAAGAAATAAAAAACTTATAAGAAGATTTTGATGATGCAGACACAACCAAGAAGATCATGAAAATAGTATTAAGATGTTCAGATCAAGAATCTAAGTTAGCGATTTCAAGAACACAAGAATGAGACTTTAAAGTACCTCAAGTAGCCATTGTTGTCGATATCTGCAGCAAAGAACTGAGAGATAGACATGTTTTCTCCAAGCACTTGCTTCGATCTTTCTCTGTTCCTCTTATCCGTTCTTGCTTCAGCCAAATACAAAAACCCTCCAACAAGAGATAAAGTAGACGAAAGCAACCAAACCGATGCAAGAAGCCTACCGGTCAAGGTCTTAAAAGCCTCCTGTTCTCCGTAGCCAACCGTAGTAACCGACATAAACGAGAGATAAACCGAATCAAACCACCCGATCTTCTCAACGAAATGCAAAACCAAAACTCCAAACACAAGGCTTAACATCAAAACGCTCAACGCCGATCCAACTTTCGCCCTCATCCTCACTCTCCCTTCTTTCATATCGACTGTGTACGATGATATCTTGCTCTCTGGATCATACATCGCAGCATGTAACATATATCTTTCTTGAAGATGAAAAACGCAAGTAAACATCCCACTAGTAAGCAATAAGTATAAGACACCAAACCCAACAAGCACAAACAACATCGAAAACAGCTTCGTTACGACACTATCCGGTGTGATGTCTCCATACCCAACTGTGCACATTGTTACAATGCAAAAGTATAAACCATCAACAACGGGATGAGCGTGATTCTTCAATATGAAACCATCTTGATTCAACCAGTAGATAAGCACACCTAAAGAGAGATACACCACGAGCAAAGCAACGGCTTTTCTTACAATGGATTTCGAATCTCGTTGCTCTGTTTTCCAATCATTTGGGTGAGATAGATCGTTGATCTCCGCCATAGCAGGAGCACTTATAGATCGTCGGAATCCATGGAGGTCAACGGTGGTTGAGTAATCGGAGAATGGAGCTGTGGAGGAGGAAGACGGCCATGGTTCATGTTGAGAGCGAGAGGATGGGCCGAAGAGTAGACGGTCTTTGAATTCCGATGGCGCTAGAGTTGTGACGTCGTTGTTGTAAAGAAAACACCGATAGTGCCAAGCACTAGCCCAAGACCGTAATACCCGAGAGATCCGAAAGAAACAAAGACCCTCTAAGTATGAATAATAAGATGAAAGAATACTTAGAGAAAACTTGAAGGAACTTTAGAGAGGATAAGAGAACTTATGAAGAACACTCTTTCTTTATTTGTTCAACTTCTCTTGTTTACAAATGATGGAGTAGTGGGCTATTTATAGGCTCCACTTATTACAAAATATCTTACAAACATTCTCCTAATCTCTAGAATTTTCTACAATAATATCTAAAATTTTAACTACAACATCTAGAATTATCTATAGAATTATCTAGATATTTAACTAATAGAATTCTCTAGAACATTTAAGAAAGATGATGATTTTTAGTGATGTTTCTAGAGATTCTAGAACTTGAGCTTAATTTTGGGCCTAATCTAATAACTAATAATTATTTTATAAACCCAAAATTAAGCTTAACCCAAAATCAAGTTTAACTTCAATACTCCCCTTTAAACTTGATTTTGTCAGTCATCCCGAGCTTCGAGCGAAGTAACTCGAACTGACCTTTTGGAAATGACTTGGTGAAGATATCCGCAACGTTGTCCTCGCTTCGAACTTCCAAAGCTTCAATTGTCCCATCAAGCACCTTCTCTTTTATGAAGTGATGCTCTAACTCAATGTGTTTAGTCCTCCCATGGAACACCGGATTATTGGCCAGCTTGATCGCACTTTGATTATCTCCATAAATTGCAATTGGCTTATTGATTGGCTCGAACAGATCATCAAGGAGTCTCTGAAGCCAAATACACTCTTGAGCTGCTAGAGTTGACGCTTTATACTCTGCTTCAGTTGTAGATAACGACACCGTTGCTTGCTTCTTACTGCACCATGAGACACTTGTGTTCCCACATAGGAAAACATAGCCTGAAGTTGATTTCCGATCATCAAGATCTCCACCAAAGTCAGCATCTGTGAAGCCATAAAGAGAGACCTTGGCATTATACTTGTACACCAGACCCATGCTAAGAGTTGTCTTCACATACTTCAATATCTTCTTTGCCGCTTCTAGATGTGGCTTCCTTGGTGCCTGCATAAACCGACTTACAAGACCTACCGCGAAGGCAATGTCAGGTCTTGTAATGGTTAAGTATAAAAGACTTCCTACAAGAGAGCGATAAGGCCGAGGATCAGGTAGTAAGGACCCTTCATCGCGTTTAAGCTTTATGTTGACATCCATTGGAGTAGAGCGTGTCTTTCCTTCGTGTACTCCAAACTTCTCAACGATTCTTCTTGCATAGCTTTGTTGGCCGATGAATATTCCACCCTTTACCCTTTCCACCTCTAAACCGAGAAAGTTGTTGAGCTCTCCCAACTTCTTCATCTCAAACCTTATCGACATATCTTCTTGTAAACGAGTAATTTCTGCATCATCATTCCCGGTAATTATCATATCATCCACGTAAAGGAGAACTACCACGTGGACTCCTCCATTTCTCTTGAAGAATAGACTCGGATCAGAGTTTGATGCCACATAACCGCAGAACTGAAGAAACTGAGCAAGCTTTCCATACCAGGCTCGTGGAGCTTGTTTTAACCCATACAAGGCCTTCTTCAGCTTACACACATAATCAGGATGCTCTCGTGATATAAAACCAAGTGGCTGCTCCATCAGAATTTCCTTGTCAAGCTCTCCATATAGAAAAGCATTCTTCACGTCTAATTGCCATAACTTCCAACCAAAACTTGCAGCCAAAGATAAGAGAGAACGTACCGTAGTCATCTTGGCTACAGGGCTGAAGGTCTCATCATAGTCTTCTCCATACTTTTGAGAGAATCCCCGAGCAACCAACCTTGCTTTGAATCTATCAACGCTTCCATCTGTTTTGCGCTTGATCCGGTACACCCATTTACAAGAAACAGGTTGGGCATTCTTGGGTTTTGGAACCAAATCCCAAGTTTCGTTCTTCATGAGAGCATTCATCTCCTCCTTCATTGCGTTTTCCCACTCGTCAACACCTTTTGCTTCATCATAAGATGTTGGCTCATCTTCATCTAATGGAGCTGCAAAGTAGCACGAGAAGGTAGTAACAAACTTTGGATCTCTGAACCGAGCAGGTTTAATGATGTCCCTTTTAGGCCTTTGACTAGCCGTGGAACCATGATGTTCCTCCTCATCCTCCTCTTGATCAGTGCTCCCCCTTTCACCTTGCATCTCTTCTTCAGGACCTTTTTCCTTACTCAGAGCTGGTTTATCACTCTTGGAGGAACTCCCACCTTCTTGCTCAACTAAAACTTGAGGTGGCCCATAGAATGAGGAAACTTCATCAAAAACAACATCTCGAGACACTACGTACCTGTGTGTCTCTGGATCCATACACCTCCACCCTTTTCTTTGTTCGTCATAGCCAACGAAGATGCACTTCTTCGCCTTTGCCTCCAACTTGGTTCTTTGAGAATCAAACACATGGACGTAGCAGACTGATCCAAATATCCTGAGATGTTTCACTGACGGCTTCTTCCCATGAATCATCTCATACGGAGACTTCATGTTATTTGGGCTGAGTGGCATCCGATTTATGACGTACACTGCGCATCTCATGCCTTCCGCCCACAAGGCTTTAGGCAGATCCTTCCCATATAGCCAGCTTCTGCACGTCTCAGTTAGATGTCAAATCTTCCTTTCCGCTACTCCATTTTGTTGAGGTGTATACGGACAAGTAAACTCTCTCTTTATTCCATGCTTTTGACAAAAAGAGAGAAACTCCTTGGACATGAACTCCCCTCCATTATCTGTCCTTAAGGTCTTGATTCTCCGACCCAGCTCCCCTTCCACGGTAACCTTGAATTCTTGAAATTTGGAGAATACTTCTGATTTTTCCTTCACAAAGTATACCCAAGTGTGCCGTGAGAAGTCATCAATGAACAGCAACATGTACCGAAACCTGGAATATGAGGGTGTTCTTGTAGGACCCATCAAATCACTATGGATCCTCTCCAACAGAGCACTGCACCGTGAAGTAGAATTGTCAAATGGAAGTCTATGTGATTTTCCATATTGACAACCTTCACAAAGCTTTCCTTCATCTTGGATCTTCAGCTTCGGAAGCCCATTTACCAACTCCTTATTCACCATAACCTTTAGCTTAGTCATGTTTATATGACCAAGCCGAGCATGCCATATAGAGGCATTGTCGTTTGTACTCATCTTCTCCACGTATGAGTTGGACGCAGATAAGACATATAGATCCTTAACCCGCGATCCGGTGTGAACCACATCCGCCTTTAACTCTTTAATATTCTTCAAGAATTTGACGTCTCTTGGGCCAAATAAAACGTAGTTACCTGAGTCTACTGCATTCACCACAGAGAGAAGATTCTTCCTTACTCCAGGGACATGGTATACATTCTTGAGGGTGATAGGGCTTCCATCTTCTCCTTCAATGACAACAGTCCCTTCCTTCTCGACCCGGTGAACTGAATTATCCGCGGTAATTATGGCTTCTTTTCCATCATGGCGCTGAAGACTAGAAAATAGCTTCTCGTCTCCGGTAATATGGTGGCTACAACCCGAATCCACAATCCAATCATTTTCAAGATTTTTAGTTGTGGATATACCTGAAGATGCAGCCTCCACCGTGAAGCATTTCCCCCATTCTTCGTCTTCAATATGACCTTTTGATTCTGCCATATTTGTCTCCTTCAGCTTGACTCGACAATCCTTTTTGAAGTGCCCAAGCTTTCCACACCGGTAGCACTTGAATCGCTTCTTATCTCCAGTAGAAGATCCTTCCGGTCCATCGATGTTCTTTGCACCATCGTATTTGGATTTGGCTTTGAAGTTGTGTTGCTTCCGAGCTACAAAGGCGCTCCCCGAGTCATCATGGATTTTGACTCCTGCCATTTGCGTAGCTAATGACTCTTGCGAAGCTAGCAGGTTCTCGAACTCCTCCAAGGAAGGTTGTGTAGCCCATCCTTGAACCGAAGTCACAAACGGTGTATACTCAGGTCGTAGACCTCGAATAATATACCGTTTTAAACGTGCTTCGGAAATTGACTCCTCCGGATTTAGAGTATTAATCTCTGAGCGAAGATTCTTTACCTTGATGAAAAACTCTGAGATTGAAGACTCCCCCTGCTTTGCATTCGCCAACTCGTTCTCTAACAGTTGTAGCCGAGCTTCATTCTTCTTGTTGAACAACTGATCTAACGCCTGCCAAATGGAACTAGCGGATGTGCAACTTGAGACATGCTCAAAGACTCCCGAGGATATTGACCTCTTCAATGCAAACTCCGCCTTGGCATTCTTCCGTGTCCACTCCTTTGTCGCTTCCGCTGTCGCAGCAGCTCCCCTTGGTGGTGTTGTGCTACTGCCGCCGACGACATCCCATAAGTCCTCACTCACCAAGTATGACTCCATGCATGACTTCCATAACCGGTAATTGGATTGGTTTAGAATCTCCATTCCCAACCCAACAACGCGACCCATTGACTCCATACTTAGAGTAAATCTGAGATCTCAATTAATCCGATCTTGAAAAAGAACCAGATCAGAATGGCTCTGATACCATGTAAAGAAAACACCGATAGTGCCAAGCACTAGCCCAAGACCGTAATACCCGAGAGATCCGAAAGAAACAAAGACCCTCTAAGTATGAATAATAAGATGAAAGAATACTTAGAGAAAACTTGAAGGAACTTTAGAGAGGATAAGAGAACTTATGAAGAACACTCTTTCTTTATTTGTTCAACTTCTCTTGTTTACAAATGATGGAGTAGTGGGCTATTTATAGGCTCCACTTATTACAAAATATCTTACAAACATTCTCCTAATCTCTAGAATTTTCTACAATAATATCTAAAATTTTAACTACAACATCTAGAATTATCTATAGAATTATCTAGATATTTAACTAATAGAATTCTCTAGAACATTTAAGAAAGATGATGATTTTTAGTGATGTTTCTAGAGATTCTAGAACTTGAGCTTAATTTTAGGCCTAATCTAATAACTAATAATTATTTTATAAACCCAAAATTAAGCTTAACCCAAAATCAAGTTTAACTTCAATAGTTGTGCTCCGGGGGTGGGATAACTAAGTGTTGGAGTAATGGGTCAGTGTCATTACCGTCGTCCGCCATCTGGGTTTTCGCCGGGAAACCGGAAAATCGGAAAAGTATGGTTAAAGTTGGAAACTTCTTTTGGATAATTCAGATGTTCATAAGCACTGTAATAATTACATTCTTTTCTCCTTTCCTTTGAACAATGGTTAGCAAAGTATTTTATTTTATTCATGGATTGGAAAACTCTATGTATTTTATTTTAAAAATGTTTTATGTTTTAAAAGTTGTTAATATAAATTTTAATTTAAGTTTATTAATTTCTTTTTTTTAAGACAACCATCAAAGTGTCTTCATTGTAAAATTAAAAACAACCATATTTTGCAAAGTGTCTTAAATACCTAAATATTACTCCCTCCCTTTTTAATTGTTTGATGTTTTAGGATTTATACTTATTTTTAAATATTTGATGTTTTAGCTTTAATTAATATATTTTAAATTAAATATTACTTTTATTTTTATTTCATTGATACAATTGCATTGGAAAGCAAAAAAATAATATGCCAGAACTAAAACATTAAGACATTAAAAAATGGAAAGAGTATAAATTAATCATTAAGACCTTTCTCAATGATGTTATCATTGGGGTTGCTCTAAAACTACAATTTTCGGAGAAGACTTTTAATGACACAGAACGATATACTAATTGACACGATTAGTTGTGTAAGCATATTTCATTTTTCAGTTTAGATGATAATTAGAATTTAGAATACTATACTACATGAATGCGACAAGGTTGGACTTTTGGTTGTTTTCTTTTTTCTTTTTGGAAACGTGTAAAATTATGAACTGGATCAGAACATAAATTACCTAAACTAAAATTGATTAACAAAATCAAAATTCTGTATTATTAATAAAATTAAATAGGCACCATGACATTCCTATTTAAATGTAAATGTGTCAATTCAAAAAAAAAACAGATAAAAGAAAAGACAAGACGTGGGCACGATGATTCACGCGTTATCAATTTGGCTTAAATCTGGCATGTGCTTGGAGTATTTACTAATCATTTTATTAATTATTACTCAAAACTCTTTTTTTTTTTGAAACTATTATTACTCAAACTCTATTTATCATCATTTTCATTTCGCAGCTGCCTACACGTCCCGTATTTTGGTTTTAATAATTTGTGTACCTATTCAAACCCATCCATATTTATTCATACTTGAGTTGCTCAGATTAAGATTTTAGATATGGCTTTCTTTATAGAATAACTATAATTGTCTCTATTATTGAAAAGGAATGGGCAAAAATATTGATTTGTTTTTTTTTTTATATTGATTTGTTTCTCACACTCGTTTTCAATTTTGGACAGCTCCGGTGAGAGAAAAATTAAAATATTAGTCATAATTAGGTTTCAGCTGTTGGCTATTGGTTGCAACGTTAGTTATGCAGTTTTATTTCATTTAATGTGACCATGTGTATCAAATCCCAAAGAATCAAATTGATACTAAGGTGTTAAAAAAATTAGAACTAATTTGCCGGATAGCATCTTTTACATTAAAATAGTTTTGAAATTAATAAATATATATATATATATATATATACATGTCACTTGCTGGAAATACATTCAACACTTTAGAACAGTTCGTCTCTTTGTCTCTTTGATCTGGGAATTAAAAACATGGAGTTGGAAAAATCCATACAGAAGCAAAACGACGCCGTGGTCAAGCTTGCGAAGCACGTCATCACGACCTCAGCCAAAGACTCCAACCTCGTCTTCACACCGACATCAATCAACGTTTTGCTCAGCCTCATCGCCGATGGTTCCAGTCATGTCTCCAAAGAAAATATTCTCTCGTTCCTCATGTTACCATCGACGGATCACTTCAACGCAGTTCTGGCCCAAATCTCCGACCGCAACGAGACTAGTGATCTACGCTTGTCTGCGGCATTCAGTGTCTGGATAGACAAATCTATCTCCTTCAAGCCTTCTTTTAAAGATCTTTTGATGAACTCCTACAATTATATGTAGTCAAGTTGACTTCGAAGCCAAGATAACTTCGAAACCCTAAATTTTGTTCACTTTTATGTGGCCGTAATTAAGCCATTGTCTTTTGATTAGTTTATCGTTTCTTTTACAGCCTGATGAAGTGATTGATGAGGTGAATACATGGGCTGAAACCCACACCAATGGACTCATCAAGGAGATTCTTTCACACGAATCTGTCGCGGATATTCGTAGCAGCAAACTCGTACTAGCGAATGTAGTGTACTTCAAAGGAGCATGGAGCAGAAGCTTTGATGCAGAGTTGACAAAAAATCTCGATTTTCATCTTCTTGATGGCACCTCTGTGGAAGTCCCCTTCATGACCAATAATTACGAGGAACAATACCTAAAACAATATGATGATTGTCAGGTTCTGCGAATCCCTTACGTAGAGGAGGATCATCGTCAGTTTTCAATGTATATCTATCTTCCTTATGAAAAAGATGGATTGTCTTCACTGCTTGAGAAAATAGCCTCCGCGCCAGGATTTCTTGATAACCATATTCCACTCGACCGAACAGAAGTGGATCGTCTCAGAGTTCCAAAGTTTAATTTCTCTTTCGAGTTTAATGCTTCAGAGATGCTTTAAAAGAAATGGGGTTGACTTCACCGTTTAGTTCTGGAGGTGGAAGTCTAAGTGAGATGGTGGATTCTCTTACCGATGGTGACGACAATCTGTACGTCTCAAAGATTCTTCATAAAGCTTGTATTGTGGTGGATGAAGAAGGAACCGAAGCTGCAGCTGTCTCTGCCGCTGAGTGCGTGTGTTGTTGTATGAATTCAGATTTTGTAGCTGACCATCCATTTCTGTTCACTGTGAGAGAAGACAAGAGTGGAGTGGTTTTGTTCATGGGTCAAGTTCTTGATCCTTCAAAACACTGATTGATATAGTTTGATGGTTTGCAAAAGATGTATGGTGTAAAATTCGAATCAATGACCAAAAATATTGGCGTCAAATACAAATTTGGTTCGGTTCGGTTCGGTTCTGTTTTAATGCCCACTGCTTGAGAAATTGTGCAACTAGACACCTTCTAGATGAAGTAGAGAGTCTAAATGCTTTTTTGAGTGAATCCGTAGACTCCGACGAGCTCAGAGAGGAGGAGAATGAAGGAGACGATGAAGAAAGGGTCGACGGATCTGTTTGGCTCACCGACGTTCGTCGATCTAGGGAACGGACGGCTCAGATGCGTCGAGACCGGTCACGAGGTTGTAGCGGGAGACGAAGAATCATACGCTCGTAACAAACGGTGTCGTTTGGGACTCATCGATCACGCTTTATCTCAGGGAAAGCCTCCTCTCAACATGTTCTCGCAATGCCCAATTTCTCGGTGAGCCAAAGTTTCTCAGTTTTCTTTCTGGGCAGATTAAATTATAAATTGAAAATTTCCAGAGATTGTATAATTGGGGTTTAGGGTTTTATAAGAACGGAAGTTAGAATCATTCATTCACCAATTCTACTGATTAGCTTTTAAGGCTTTTCAAATTATCAAATTGACAAATCCTTACGAATTGCAACTCAAGCAAATTATTGGTGTTAAATAGATAAAATGTGTGACCTTTGTAGTTGTTCATATGATGTTTCTCTCTCTGTTAGAGAAAGTGGATGAATGGTGAAAGTTTTGATCGGTTTATGAGAAAGAAATGATGATACTTTTATGTATTTGGATTACTGTAGAGTTTCGGATTACAACATGTCTCAAGTTTTATAAAGATCTTTGCGTCAGTGTCATATTAAAGATGGTGGTTGTTGTCTTGTTTTAGAACATTGAGCTTCTAATCTTTTATCAAGTTTTGGCTATGTTCTCAGCATTGAAAATGGTTAAAAGTTCTAAGCTTTCTTCTGGGTTTTGGCTATGTTCTCAGCATTGTAATCTTTTATGAAAATGGTTAAAAGTTCTAAGCTTTCTTCTGGTTTTTGGCTTTGTTCTCAGTTCGAAACTCGTGTGCAAGATTACAGGAGATATTGTGAACAAGAACGAGGAACATATCTGGAAACATGTGAACGGGAGAAGGTTTCTTCACAAATTAGGTTGATAAACGGTTTACACACGAGATCAGATTCATTGACAAATTCGATGGCTTTTAATGTTGGTAATTTTGATAGAGCAAGTGGAAAGAGGAGCTGGATCAAGTGGAGAGACCCTAGTAAGAGAAATAACCAAACAGAGACGCATTAAGGAAGATACTGATTCCGATGAATCGGATTTTTGGATGCTTAGGTCAAGTTCTGGTTCAGAGTCAGAGTCGGAGCAAGAGAGTGATGAAGAAAACTGCAAAGGTTACTCTTTTTGTTTTGTCTTGGTTCCAGTTTCATCTCGTTTTGACACTTTACTTAGATCTTGCTCCTGATTTTAGTACAGGTTCTCTTCATAGTGATGCCAGAGAATCTGAGGAGCTCTCAGAAAGGTATAAACACATTTGGTTTTGATTCAATTTTGATATTCATCTCTAACTGTGTACTTTTGTCTCTTTTACAGAACAAAGAGAATGTCAATAGAGATCGGACCAAGTAGCTTTGCTTCAAGGAAGAAAAAGATTAGGAATTTTGTTTAGAGTTTGTTTTGGGGAAGAAGAAGAAAAAAAAAAACACAATACTGTTTATAAATAAAAGCTCTTTTCAAATGATATGATTATTTTACAAGAGATTTATGAATACATATGTGGCATGATGTACCTTTTACACATCAGGGAAGCCACAAGAACAGCATTTGAATAGATTTCTATCAGTCTTATCGTTTAGAACCAAATCTCCCTTACAACGCTTCCCACACGAAGAGCAAATCGGTCGAGAGAGACGATTGTTAGGAAGCAAATCAAATGTCCCCGTACGACCCATCTTTAAAATGTAATAGGTTATTAAATACACATTTAGTATGAAGAGTGGAGCCACAATCATTGCATTTATAAAACCTACTTTTTGAATATATTTTCTCTTCACAAACCCCGCAACAAAACGTAGAATTCACGTCTTCCTCACCGTAACATACGTCTCACCAACGTGGGTAAAGTAGCGCATCTGAAGCATAAAATGAAGCCGCCACAATCATCTTTATTAATACAATGTAGTTTCAGCCAATGTCTCGTGCCACAACTTTTACATCCCTTGTCTCTCCTACCGTATGTAAATGGGAACAACCAATGCAGATGACTTTCATGTTTAAATGCGTCAGAAATTGACGCACAACGCATATCAATATTGAAGTAATCTTGGGTATATGAGAAACGTCGACAAGCTTCACAGAAAAAATAGTTGTCATCCTCATCCTTGGCACACAACGTAAGTTGTCTGTTGTAGATCGGGTGCCTTTTCTTCAGAGGGAGATTAGCGCATGCATCGTGAAGTATGAAATCACACTGTGTACATATGTAACACGTTTCAGAGTTAAAAGGAAAAGTGCATGCATAACAATGTTTACCTTCTTCTTCGAGTCCTAGTGATGATGATATTGACATAGTTTTAAACAAGAATCATCATGCGAGGGACATAGTTCTAGGTTCATTTCACACAAGATCGCTATGTTGGACCCTTCTTCTTCCATTTATTTTAGGAAAGATTTTCGGCTTCTCTCTGTACTTTTTCTTTTTCTTTCACAGAAGATGTGTTGTATATACAATATATAGAAGAAAAAAAACAAGAACAAGAAAGGAACTGACTGTATTATCTTTTTGGTTCGTAAATTTTATAGTTCAGCATATCTTGAATTGGAACATTAGATTACCTATTTTGATAATCAAAACTAACGAATAAGTTTATTGGTAAGAGAATCGAGTTATTTGCCTATTGAATGAACCCATAGTTACATAGATTCTTCTTTGATAAAATAAATCAATATTCTTTTCTTTTCCCTATACTAATGATCTTGAATTAGAGGCAATAAAAAGACATTGACTCATCCCATTTGTAACTTCAGTTTTACGCAAGGGAACCAACACATATGATATGCTTGGCTAAATTCCACAAACTGTCATTTCACAGGTCAATTGCTAGTTCGTGTTTAGTGGTGTTAAAGAATCGACGATCAAATATCTATATTATTATTTGCGAAGTCAAAAACACATCACAGCTCTTCTGGGGTTAGTGCCTTATGTCTCTGGTGAAAATAAGTGAAATATATATGCTTTATAAAAATTGATGGGCTTACTAATATATGTTATTGAGTTTGGTTTGATTGTTTTAAATAGATCTCCGGACTACTTTCAAACTCAATATTATCTACTGTTGGGTTTAGATTTTTACTTTGGCTCAAGTTTAGAATTATATTTAAAATCCTAGATTTTGAAGCAAAATCTTAGATTTCGAAAGCTTTATATACCTCTCATTATATATGATTTGAAACCTACATTTTAACCTAGATTGCTTGATCTTTTTCGTTTTTATTTTTGTTTTTCTTTTTAAAATTGTTGTTGTAATATTGTTTGGTTGTTTGATGTTCTCAAGTAGATCTCTAATGTTGTTTTTTGGTTTTCTCTCTTCGTAATACGTTGATCTATGATTTGCTACGTTGAACGAGGTATGTTTTTATTTAATTTTTATGCTGTGTTTTCATGTTTTATCTTTGATTTATGCATCGACTCTTGCTGTTTACGTTCTTCGATATTCTCTCTTCATGTGATAGGTTGATCTATGATTTACTATGTTGAATAAGATATGTTTGTATTTAATTTTTATCCTGTTTTTTCATGTTTTATCGTCTGCTAAACCTAATAATTTAATTACGGCTAAACTTAATACAGCAAATAAAAACCCTAATCCGTTTGGGTATATATATTGCTTGCTAGCTGTATATCTATATATCTTATTATGTTAGTCTTAACTCTTAATTATCTGATGATTTATCTTGCTTCTAATTTTTTTATGATTGATCTATGATGGTTCGTATATTTGTGTTAGTTATGATATGTTTTCCTTACATGTACATTGTTTTGCATCTTCTTCAAAGAACGAGATGTATCAATTCATCTTGAACAAGGTATGTTTAACGTGACATATTTAGTTTATTTAATATTTTTAATTGTGTTATGTTGATTATATTATTATTTTTTGTGGTGTAGGGTTGTAGGAATCTTATCGAGTAATCTGGTATTTGATTCTTTTTCTTCTGAGTGATTTTTAATTTGGTTTTGATTTGTGTAATTTTTTCAGGACCCTTTCATGGAGAAGAAGAAGATTTGTATCTAAACTTTATTGTTATAGAACATAAATTTCGGTTTTGTTTTGGTTGATGTATTTGATTTTGAGATGTTAAGTATAAAATTATTTTAATCGTTTTTATGGTTTTTAATCTAATCTTGTGATTTCACTTTTTTTTTTTAGTTTTTTTCAGCAGAATGTCTTCAAAGGGAGAAGTAATATCAAAAGCAAAATTGATAAGAAGGTGTTTAGATTTTTTTTGATATGTTTGGTATGTTCTGTTTTGCATTGTTTAAGCTTAAATATAAACTTTGGTTCTATTTTTCAGGAGAAGGTCTTCAAAGGGAGAAGTAAGATCGAAAGCAAAATTGATAAGAAGGTATCCAGTTTTTCAAACTTAGCTTTGTGATCGAAAGAGAAAGCATAAACTTTCAAAGGATGATTTGAATTTGTTTTAGTGGCTGTACTTGCTAATCACTCTGTACAAATCATATATACATTATATGTATCATCGTCTTTGTGATTAAACGAGAAATCCATTTTACTATCTATGCGCCGCTTATTATGGTATAAGAGCATGATCTCTGATAACTCTTTCAATTTCTCATTTTTGATATCATTCTCTTTTTCTTCTTTGTTTTCTTTACTCCGACTTTCATTCTTCCTTGAATTAACACCATGACTGAGTCCGTAATTGATGCCAAAACACTCTCTCTAAAAACTGAATGCTCGACATTGACCCTGAAACCCGACACCTTCGATGGAGATCCACAGACGTACTATCTCTCCATATGATCTCACCGCCAGCGACAACCCAAGAAGTGGTATCTCGCATTCTCTGTTACTTGGAGATAACTATGAAGAATGGGTGATTTAATATTGAGACCGCCTTGAGTTCACAAAAGAAGTTTGGCTTCGTGGATTGTAGTCTAGTGCAGCCAGTAGAAGACTCACCCGACTATGACGATTGGAAGATCATTAATGCCATTTGTAATTTACATTCGACTAATTTCAATGCCATTAGTAATTTACATTCAAACCATCTTTGTGTTCGAGTCATAAAAATTAAATAAAAACATACTTCATAGTCGGGTGAGTCTTCGAACATACCTAAGTCTTAGAATTAGTGGTTTGCATTACATTATGGGAAATAAAAATATTAAAAGAGGAAATTTGTTGGGTCGAAGTCAGTTCTTGCTCTGTTCTTGATCCATATCATTTAACCGAGAGGGACGCTCTTATAAATTATAAATACAGATACTCCACACTCAGTCAAAGTCTCCTGACCTGACTTCTTATAGATGTCATCGCCAACAGAAAAAAGCAAAATCGTCAATGGCATTCGACGATCAAGAACTTGAGATTTCTCCGAGTCAGTCAAATCTCATATATGTTCATTATTTATTGTGTAAGCAACAGTAGGAAGTGGGGAATTGGTTCCTTATTTTTCAAAGAGACTCCATGAGGGAAGTCTATGGAACAGAATCAGAAATTTCAATGTAGTCTCGCGGAGATCGGCGAGACAAATGACAAATAATTTTTGGAGGATTGAGTTTCAATCTAGCACTAAAGTCTTGGGAGATTTCAAAACTGGAGATTTCTATAAGGGAGACGATCCACCTATGCAGTTTCTTAGTTATGAGAATCTCTACCTTAGCAACTTTCAACGAAATTGTCCTGTTGGTGAGTCTTCCTCCAGATTGCTCATTTTGATTTTAATCGACAATTCCATTTTAAAGATGTTTTTGTTCTGCAATAATGCTTACAGATTTGGTTGGTGTTGTTGAATCGGTTGGCGAACTTGAGATGGTTAGAGATCATTCGTTTGAAGCTTTTGAGTCAAAAATGACACCAAAGATTGGTTTTTACATTAACAAATGAAACGTAAGTGTTTATATCGTGTTTTGTAATAAATATAATTAGCTTTATGGTATGAAACAATTCAATCTAACATAGTTTTAGTGAACGAATGATAACATGTTATGCACACGGGAAATTGGCAATTGAGTTCAACGACATATAGTGTTGTTGTAATGAATAATTGGTCATTTGTGTTCTAAGTGACTGGCATGTCGTTAACGCAATGGTACGACACTAAGATTACCATCTTGAAATTTCTTACCTATTATTCCTATTCAAGCATATACCTATTGTTTTAAGTAACAATTTTTTTTGTAGAGGAGCATCATGTTTCTGATCATGTCGGCATCTCGAGAGTTTTGTTCAACCCTGATCTTCAAGAGGCACATGAGTTACGAGACATGCTGTAAGATAACTATATTTTTTTAAAAAATAATTATTTACAACGTATGATAATGATCAACTGTTTTCATAACTACTCTGTTTGTATATGCTTGAATAGGATTGGAGAGAGCAAACAAGAGGATGCAGAGGAAGAAGAAAATTATTTGGATATCGACAATTAATACGGACTAATTGAACGCGAAATATATTGTTTAGGAATGTTTTTGAGGACTTTTTATGCTGCTATTCATCGTTAGTATAATGCTTAAATGGTCACTCATTTCGATTAATTAAACTTCGCTTTGATTTTCTTTTTATAAAAAATTTGACGAACATTCGATGTCTGCGCCCAGCGCGGGCCACCACCTAGTTTATTATAGTTTACAGTTTAAGGATTGATTCTGTTTTTAGCAATCCCAATATAAACTATTAAAATGGGTCTTATTGATTAATTATTAATATTTTGTGTATTTTATATATATGTAAGACACTTTGTTGTATTTTGTTGTTTTTAGAGCATACAATTGAAACACTTTTGATGAGTGTCTTAAAATATATATATATATATATACAAGTGCAATTCAGAAACTGGAATTTTCCATCGTCCACTCCCAGCTTGCCACATGTGCGTTCTTAATTTAGACACTGGTCTAAAATATAAGACACCATGAACTATTTTTTATTCAGTTTTATCATTAAGAACATTTGTTTAGACATCTAAAAGTCTCTATTGGGGTTGGTCTAATGATCGAAAACTAGAAAAAGAAGAATGTCAATTTGTATAAAATAATGAGAGAATTCGGATGAAATGAAATACAACAATAATAAGTTTATAGTTCAAGGAAAGAAAAGATTTTGAATTTTGTTAAGAATTTGTTTTGGGAGGGAAACAAAAAAACACAATACTGTTTATAAATAAAAAGTATTCACATATACAAAAATCACATTGTGAACATTGATACAACAGTGCCAGATTGCATTCACATAAACAACATGATTCAAAACTTATGTCATACTTTGTGAGCTTGAGAGGGTGTTTATGGCGAGAAGGAATCTTGGTGTTGATGCATTCCTCGTGGACATAGAAATCGCAGAATTCACACTTGTAGCCTTGCTTGTTGTCATGGCCATCTTTGTAACACGCATAACACTTTGATGAAATTTTTGTAGACTTTAGACAAGAATCATGAGAGGGG